TCGGCTACCGCGAGGGCACCATCGCTCAACAGCTTTTTACAGACGACATCCAGGATGAGGACAACTCTGCCGACGACGTTGGGCAGTGGTCTTCCGCAGCAGCAGCAGCAGCAGCAGCAAGTCACCCAGCATCCTCCACAGGCACCTCTTCCCTGCGACATCCAATGCGGACGCGTCGTCTCCAACAACTTGTGCAGCCGTCATCCCAAACTTCAGCCCGCGCTGCAGCACCCAGACGCACATCCACCTACACCTACCCTCCCGCTGTTGAAGCCCTATGGACGAACGATGCCGACGACGACGACGATGATGATGATGACGACGATGAGGAAGCTTATCACCCTTCCCAGGCCGAATGCTTTCAAGACGAGGCGGAGGAAGGCAACGACAACGCAGATTTGCTGATCGCATCGGAAGAGAAGTACGGCCGCTCTTTCCCGCGAGATGGCAGAACGTACAAGGCGTGGATTGTGATGGACAATGCGAGCTTCCACAAAACAGCCAGCCTGCGCAACTACTTTTGGCGTAGGAACTACCGTCTGCTGTATCTTCCGCCGTACTCGTCATTCCTCAACCCGATTGAATATGTTTTTGGCAAGATTAAATCTTGCTTCAAGCGCACTCCTCTGAAAAAAGGCGAGAAAGTCCATCGCCGCATTGAAGATGCTGTTCGCCAAGTGTCGGCGCAAAATTGCAGCCGCTCCATTGTCCATGTCAGCAAGTATGCCTTCCCTTGTGCGCAGCTCGAAGATATCAAGGATTAAATACACTAGCTTGATGCTCTTCCAACCGAGCTTTCCAGCGAGGTGATGATGACTGCAGTAAAAAAAAAAAAAACCAAAAAAAAAAAAAAAAAACCAAAACCCAAGCGAGAATAAAAAAATTCTGTGTTTTGCTTTTGCGTGCTTTTGTAAATATGATCTTTTTGTCATGTCCACCATGCTTGGAGATGCCGGGAAGCTGCGATAAACCACTCCTTTGAGATTGCATGACTGTTCAATCTGGCATGTTCGGTGCCCTGGAGAAGCTTGTCCAGTCATTGCAGAACATTGTTCGATTCACTTGGTTCGATTGCCATGGGCAGGTCGTTCACTTCGAATTGCAGCAACGTTCAGTACGACTATGTTCACTCCCGCGTTTGTTCGGTCAGAATTGTTCATTTTACGTTTGTTCAAATCAATTCTGTTCAATCGCCAAACGCACAAAGTTCGATTGGTCCGCACAAGTGTTCCATCACCATTGCCGAACACTGTATGAATGGGGGAAGCCTTTTGCTGAATCGCTGAGCGTTTTGGTACTCCGGTGAAGTCGTTCCAGCTCTACTATTACTATCATTGCCATGTTGAGCAATGGGTCTGTTAATCGACCTGACCTTGAGGTTGTTGCGCTTTCAATTCAGTCGTCCTTCACAATGTCTGAGCAGCAGTTCAAGGTGAGTGGCTGCCGCCGCGCTCATTCCCCAACACCCGCGTTCCAACGACGGGCAACGCACAGCGGCACCCTCTCCATTCACTCACTCACTTTTGACTTTTGGGGGAAGGGGAAGGCGGTGGGGGAGGGGGGGGGTCGAATGCATGAGAATGCATGAGAATCGACCCTTCAATTCCACTCTACTCCACTCCACTCCACTCGACTCCACTGCGACTCCACTGCGACTCACTTGTCCTTGTCCCTCGTTCGTTGAATATCATGACATTCAACCACAGTGCTTTGCTGACGAGAGCGTGTTTGCGCTGCACTCGCTGCTGCTCACGCCAATCGACACTGTTCCGCTGCACTTTCGCCATGACGCGGGCTTCCGCTTGCCGACCGACCGGTGCGCCTGCCAGGGCTACGAAGTCCTGCTCAAGGTATGGATGTATCGTCATCATCATCATCATCATTTGTGACAAAGTATCATCATCACTATCGCTGGGTCGCACTTTTGTTTGCAATGCGATGCAAATTCGCTGCAAAAAAAAAGTCGCTGAGAAAAACACGGAGATTTTTGAGTGTCGCATGTGTTTTGTTTTTTGTTTTGTTTTCTCAGAGCACGGACAATTAGGAAATTCTAGGAGCGTTAAAGCTGCTTTTCCATTCTTTGTTTCGCTTTTATTCACGAGATGTTTGTCGTGCAGTGGATTTGCGCTTGTTTGACATGTTCTCATCGAAACTCACGCTCTCGAATGTCGTCGTCGTCGTGCTAGGACGGCGGCATTGTCGGCGTCAAGCTTGCATTCAGCGCAAAGGAGCCGCTGGACAATGTGTGGTTTATCCCGCGGACTGCCACCAGTAAAACACACCTCGCCAAGGTACTTTTCTGAAATGAAAACGGGTGCACTGCACTTGCACTCCAGTGCTCAATTGACTTGCTTTGGATGATCAGGGTGACATGGACATGCACGCCATCCACCTGGGAAACTTCAGGCCAAGCGAAAAGAACGACGGACTGTTTGAAACCATGTTCAAATGGAAGTTCCCAATCGTCGCAGATCGCAGCCTGCATGACATCAAGACGTCCGCGCGAGCGAGTCGATCGCCCCAGGCGCACGCCTCGCTGACCTCGCAGGGGCTTGACAAGTTGGCAAGCAACTCGCTCACACCGCCGTCCGGACTGTCGGCCTCTTCCCAGCACAGCAAAAGCAGTAGCTCATCGTCACATCTTCCTCTGACGGTTGGCTCATCCGAATTATCGCCACGGCGCACGTCAGTCACAGAACACAGCTTTACCTTCAACTCGCTCGCCGATGTGAAACCGTCGCTCAGCACATCGAATGACTTGTCGCCGAATTTCAACGAGCAGCACGTGCCGCTGGTTCGAATGCACGATACAGCCCAGGACCAGCAATGCCACCTCAGCAACGCCGTCATGGGCCTGGTGTTTGAAGCTCCGGGATCGGACATTGCTGACGACGATAGTGAAGAACCAACGAGCCCGAACAGCGACTCCGCCCCGCCCAAGCCCAGGGTGAGCGTGTTTGGTGCCGTCAAGCATCGTTTATCGACGATCGGCCATCATCTGGGGCACTCGTCCAAGTCCTCGCGAGCCTCGACTGCATCGTCCACATCGTCGCGCAAGCTGTCCAACATGGAGTCCAACGATGTGATGCCCAGCCCCCTGCCCGACTCCTCCTCCTCCGAGCTTGGCGATGAAGAGAGCATCACCGAGCTTGAGGTTGACGACGGCGGCGAGCTCGTTGCCGTGCACGCCTCATCACCGCTGCTGCTCTCCAAGAAGAATTTCAAAGCGTATCGTCTCGATGGACGTCTGACCGTTTCACAGCAGTTCTATGTACGTCATCTGAGTGGAGCCATTTGTTTCGCTTCATTTTTTGCAAACTCTTTTTCCTTTTTTTTTTGTCTTGCTCATTGCTCATTGCTCATTGTCTTGTGGACAGCTTGTCGAAGGAGGCGGTCGTGTGCTGGCCCGCCTGCGTCTGCGATTTATTGCCACATGTGCACCAATCCCACCCCTCTGTTCGTACTGCCGCGCAAGGTGTGGCAAGTTGCGGCCGTCGTCCAACGAGCAGTCACGCCTCGCGCCCAAACCTCTGCAAACGGCAGACGTACTTTTCGTGCGCTCTCACATCTGGAAGCAATCCCTCTTTTACGGCTTGATGAAGCGAGATGACCTGCAAGTCATCCCCTATATCAAGTTGATTGAATTGCGTGAGTTTTCAGCGACCTTGCCCTTTGTTGTTTTGTCTGAGCGGTTTTGCTTTTGCTCATGCGCTTTTTCCTCATGCTCTTGATGCTCGTTCTTGTCACAGAGGAGCGCATGTTTGAGCATCCAACAGCCCCTCGTGCCCTTGATACCACCACCGACAACGACGAAGAGCTTGATCAAGGCGAGCATCGGGACTATCCGACCGACCTGCCTGCACATCAGCGAGCCGGCAAGGTGGGGCAGGGACATGCTTGTTTCATCGAGTTGTGTCTTTGAGTCACAGCAAGCACACACCTAACCCATTTTGTGCTTCTTTCATTGTGTGTGTGTGTGTGTGTGTGTGTGTGTGTGGTGTGTGTGTGGTTTTTTTTTTCGTTTTGCTTTTCGATTGGACTCGCAGTTTGTGAATTACGCCGACTTTGAAACGCAAGTTGCCAAGGCGCTCAAGCTCGAGCAAGCAGACTCGACCAGTTTCTTGGAAGCGCGAGATGGCATCAAGCTGGCGTACCGGCTTTTCAAACCTTCGTCTGAACCGATCGCAAACGTGTTATTCATCGCCACATTCGGCTTTGGCAGTGCCTGGTGCTTGGATCTCGCTTCTCGACTCTCCAAAGGCAGTCCCTTCAACGTCTTTGTGCTTTACGAGCGAGGTCATGGTCCTGCGTAAGTCATTCGTGCTTTTCTGGGCTTGTTCTGGTCTATTCTTTCTTGTTTCGCCCAATTTTCACATTTAAAATGATCTCTCCCTTGCATGTTGGTCTATTCGCAGGAGTCTCGACTCTAGCGGAGACGCTCCCTCGAAAGAAGCGCTTTGGCGTGACATTCGAAGCATGGTTCGGCATCTTCGCTGGAATTACCCTGCGCTTCCGCTGGTTGTCGGAGGGCACAGCAACGGCGGTGCCAAGCTTCTCAATTACCTTCACTGGAAATCAAGCGAGCCGGCGGACGCAGTCTTCTTGATCAATCCCTTCCTGCGCGAGTTGATGCGCAAACACAAGCGCAACATGACCAGGAAGGACCACTTTCAACTGACGCTGAACGCAATGACAGGCGGTCGGCTGGCTGGACACTGGACTGCGCTGAATCTCTCCAACTTTATAGCCCAGAACGACGTGGGAGGTCTCAATATTCCCGCGCACATTTCAGTAAGGGGGTTTGAGCATTCTGTTGCTGCTGCTGCTGCTGCTGCTGTAGTTTCAGTTTTGGGGGACTCACTCTGTGGTGTGTAGGTCAACATGATGACCGCAGTTATGGTCAATGATACAAAGGCCGTGTTTGAATCCATCTCTGTTCCGTTTGCGCTGTGGGCGGGCTCCGAGGACGAAATCTTCCCTGCGCAAGAGGTTCTTGCTTGTGCCGACTACTGTCCATCGAAGAATAAGGTACTTGTGGCGAGCGATGCAAGCGAGTTGGATTGCTTTTGGGCTGTTGCCTGTTTCTTGCAGAAAGTGCTCAGTCACACTTGTATGTACTCTGCACTTAGGTTGTCGAACAGATTGAAGGAGGAAGTCACGTCGGAACTGTGGAGATGATGGACGATCATCTTGCGCCTTGGATCAAGCGCATCCTACCCCCGCTTCGGGAGCGACTGGATGCCGAACTCGCCAAGCAGGCTGCCATTCTCGCAGCCCGACGCTCGCATCCAAGCGTTTCTGCCTCGTCGACAGGTGTTTCGCCCAGCTCGAGTGCAGGCACCCTGACGGCCGAGCGAAGTGCTGCGCCCCCGTCTGAGCCCACCGCCGTTTCCATTGCACCTCCGAAGACTGTTGAAGTGTAGGCAACGCCTACGTGAATGGTTTGTGTACCAAGCGAAGATTCTGATGCTGGAGATGAATGTTTGGTATCTTGTAATTTTTGAAATGACTTTAGAAATCCATCCATTTCGATGCTGTGCTTGAGTTTAAAAAAAAAAAAAAAAACATAGGCCAAATCGCTTTCAAATTTAATCGCAAACTGGATCGAAATTTCGCTTCGCTCATTTCTGGGAATCAAAAACTGCACTTTCTAGTTTGAGTTTTGGAACACATCGTCGCCTCACTCTTCATTTGTTTTTCATTTTTTTGTCTTATTATCTCCAATGTCAGTTTCAGCAAAGATTGTTGTTTTGTATTTGTTTTGTTTCTCAATTGTTGTGGTTTTCTCAATGTTTTTTTTTTTTTTTTTTGTTTGCCAGGAAGCTTTTCGTCGCTGTTGTGGTCCTGGCTCTGACCCGCTCGGTCGCTGGCACCTGGGATTCTACTACATGCACGTATACCACATAGTATGTACACGATGCGTTGCGAAGAGAGCAGCGGAAAGGCGGGAGTCGCTTCTGGGCATAATTTCTTCGATACATATGGGTCACTGCTGGCCCTTCCGCCCAACGCAACTGAGACACACCTCATCCGACCCACCTCACCTGCATTTGATGGTGACTCCATAGCGCTGGCGCTTCGTTCACCGTGTCCGCGTTTCACCGCGACCAGCCTTGGTCGATTCCCGGCGTCAACTCCACTGGTGGACCCGATGGATACAACTATCTCTACAACTTCTGTCCTGGCCTTGGGACTCAAATTGGAACTTGCCGTTCAACTGATCTTGTAAGTCGACGAGAGAGAGGAGGGGAAGAGGCAAGGAGGGGAGAGGAGAGGCAAGGCGAGATGAGGACGGTGGTTGCTGTCCTGAGCCGCTTGGCTCATCTTTCATTGTTGATATTTGCCTTTGTTACAATCCCTGGATTGCTAGGTTTGCCAGCAGTCAACTGGCGGCTCGACTTATGTTAT